GGAAGGGGACAGGGAAGGGCTGGAGAGGGAACTCTGTTCTAAAACCCTCTCACCACTTCCCACCCTACAGGAGATCCGGGTCCTCAACTCCCACATCTCAGACACCTCCGTCGTGGTGAAGATGGACAACAGCCGGGACCTGAACATGGACTGCGTCATCGCTGAGATCAAGGCTCAGTACGACGACATCGCCAGCCGCAGCCGGGCTGAGGCCGAGTCCTGGTACCGCAGCAAGGTGAGTGCCACAGGACACCTGCCTGCTAGACATGGCAACGGGAGGATGTGAGGTATATATTAGAAAAGTCTTTTTTTTATGAGAATCTCCCCCCATGCAAATTAGCTTCCTCTGAAAACCTACTGGAGAGTCAGCCAGCTGTGAGTCAATTCCAACATGATGGTACAAAAAACAACAGCAGCAAAGATAATTGTATCAAATCCTTCCCCAGGAATAGTTAAGAGAAAGACAAAGCGAGTTCAGGTTGGGGAGGCACAGAAAGTGCTGCCATGTGTACAGGGCTGGTCTCTGTACAACTTGAACTGTCACTTATCCTAGTCCTGAGTCTCGGCAGGAAGTCCCATCCCTGCTGAACCTCATGAGAATCCACGCTTCCCCCCACAGTGTGAGGAGATGAAGGCCACAGTGATCAGGCACGGCGAGACCCTGCGCCGCACCAAGGAGGAGATCAACGAGCTGAACCGCATGATCCAGAGGCTCACGGCCGAGGTGGAGAACGCCAAGTGCCAGGTAATATCCACTCTGCCCCTCCGGTGTGGGTAAGAGATTGAAGTTAGCTGCAGCAGATGGTTTGAAGCTGGATTTAGCATTCCTTTAAATTGTCAATGTGCAAGAAACGGGAGCAAACATCAAACATCAGGGGAGTCTCCTCTGTGAAAAATGGGCTCCGTTCCCCCAGAAGGAGGCAGTATGGAAGGGAAAGGGAGATGAAAACTTTCCAGGGCCCAGGTGCAAAGTGAGACAGAGGAAACAGCACTGGCCTGAGGGACAGGAAACCTGAGCCCAGCTACCAGCTTGCCATGTGACCTGGGATAAAACATTTAACTCTCTGGCCTGAGGTTCTAGGTCAGTGATCTAAACACTCAGAGGTTAATAAATGAGTGAAGCAGGCTGGCAGGCTGGATTCAAGGCCATCTACAGGACACAGCTAATCAGATTCAATTAAGCCCAGTTCTGCAGAAATGTATGTCTATATAGCCAAATCCTTTGATTTTTTCCAGAGAAACCAACAATCTGGATTTTTATGTTTAATTTCTCAAATTTAAAGGCACTGTGGGTAAGAGCCAGCCATCCACTGGTAGGCAATGGCTTGGCCTCTGACCCTGAATCCAGAAGGATCTTTAAGAAGCGCTGTCTGACATACTTTGGACATGTTGCAAGGAGAAAAGAGTCCCTGTAGAGGGAACTCATGCTCAGAAGGGTGAAGGGACAGCACAAGAGAGAAAGACCCTGGATGAGGTGGATTGACTCAGTGACTGGGGTAATGCGGGTAGATGTGTCAGAGACAGTAAAGGTGGCACAGGATAGAGCAGATTTCAGAGCTGTTGTACATAGGATCACTGTGAGTTGCAAGTGACTCAACGGCTCATAACAGCAACAACCTCTGCCTCTCAGAATTCCAAGTTGGAGGCTGCAGTGACCCAGTCTGAACAGCAGGGTGAGGCAGCCCTCAACGATGCCCGCTGCAAGCTGGCTGGGCTGGAGGAGGCCCTGCAGAAGGCCAAGCAGGACATGGCCTGCCTGCTCAAGGAGTACCAGGAGGTGATGAACTCCAAGCTGGGCCTAGACATCGAGATCGCCACCTACAGGCACCTGCTGGAGGGCGAGGAGCACAGGTGAGGCCCACACCTATGGGGAGGGTGTTTCAATATGCCACAAACCCATTTGCCTTTTATTTGCATCAGTCTTGCTTCCCTTGCTATTTATCATCTCTTTCTCTTTCCACAAGGTTGTGTGAAGGCATCCCTGCTGTAAATGTCTGTAAGTACTAGTCTGTGGGGCTGTTCTCTGAAATGAGGGTTAGACTGAGGACAGAGCAGACAAACTTCCTCCTAAAAAGCCAGATAGTAAGTATTTAAGGGTTGTGGGCCGTGCAGTCTCTATCTTCTACTCAGATCTGGTTTTTCCTGGTGTGAAAGCAGCCTCACTATAGTTTAAATGAATGAGTGTGACCGTATGCCAATAAAACTTTATTTGTAAAAAACACAGGGTTAGCCCACTACTATAATTTTGGGATCCTAGAAGGAGGGACTCATAGCAACGTCATAAATCTTTATGGAAAAAGACTGTTTCATCTTTCTGCCACAGAGCAGCTGGTTCATTCAAACACAACCAGATTCTTTAACACTGCCTCACCAGGGTTCGATATGGTTCACAATCAACTCCGTGGCAGTGGACTTAAAAAGAGGACACTGTGGGCAGTGAGCAGTCATTTGATGACTTTGTTATTCTGCCGGTAATAAGAATAAGAGGCTCGAGAGCTCTAGTGGCAAGGAGCTGCACTGTCAATATTGCAAAAAGGCAGCCATTCAAATCCACCAGCTGATCCATGAGAAAGATAGCCAGTCTCCCCCAGTTTGGTTTACTGCCTCTAAAAACCTGCTAAAGGGTCAGTTATGGTTCGGTTCCAATTCGGTGACACAAACCAACAATGGTCCTTCATCAGTTTAAGGGAGGAAATTGCCCATCTTCTCCCTCTGAATGGCTTGTGAGTTCCAACTGTTGACCTTTCAGTTAGCCGTCCTATGCACGTTGCACTACACCACCAAGGCTCCTTGGTAAGGGAGCTATGCCCACAGTTTATGACTGATGATTGTGATACGACTTTGACAAAAAGTGTCCAGGAGTGCAGGTGTCTATAGAGAAATGAACGTGGCGGGGAGGGGCTCTGGGCAGGCGGGAGGACTCTGAATAGTCAGGGCCACTGGGGACTATGTGAGGACTAACCCTATCCTCCTCCCTGCAGGTGTGAGCAGCTCCCGGGGCGGAGTTGTCTGCGGGGACCTCTGCGTGTCTGGTTCCCGGCCTGTGACGGGCAGTGTCTGCAGCGCCCCCTGCACCGGGAACGTGGCCGTGAGCACCGGGATGTGCGCGCCCTGCGGGCCTAGCTCCGGCTCCGTGCGGTTCGCTTAGCAGCGCTTGGCGATTTGTAAATACGTGGCTCAAGGAAAGAATAAGGGAACGTCCTTGCCTCCAGTGGCGGGTCCTGGAGTCAGAAAACAAAGAGCTTCCTGAGCAGCCCGCCCCACCCTGCGCTTCCCAAACTGCTGGGCGCATCCTCTTGTCTTTCTACCCGCGGCTTCCTCTCATTTTTCCCAGAGAAAATGAGGCTCTTTGCCTGCTTGCTTAGCAGCTTCCCCTTCCTCTCCAAATGTCTAATTGACAGGTTTCTTCGAAGCCCTGAGCTAAGGCTTCTTTCAGAGGGGGGCTGCACCTGAGGCAAAGGGCTGCTCAGTTCCAAGACCTCTGGGTTTTGGATGTGCTTGCTCCAGCTCCCCCCTCAGACCTTGGTCTCTGTGCTTCCAATAAATTTCATAAGTCATACAGTGTTGAGAATCTCCAGTTTGTCCAACAGGCACTCTATTCCAGTCCCATTTTCAACCTTGGGAGGCCTACAGGGGAGCCCTTCTCAGCTGAGGAGGAAGGAAGGGTGTCTCTGCGGCACCCTCCCTTTTCCTGCACAGAGCCAGGAGCTGGATGGTAACTGAGAAGGGCAACACTGAGGTGCCTGTAACCAAGAGGGAAAGGCGTTTTATTTCTTCACACCCTGGTGGGGACCTCTGCACCTGCCATTGCTGGGATGCCACTGTATCCCAGATACAGTGAGGGTCACTTCCTGCACCTCACCCACCCTCACCACATGAAAAGACCCTGACCACGTTCCCAAACATACAGAACATGCCCCCCTAAACCAATTCATCTAGACAACTCACACCACTACCAGCTCTCAAGGGGAGTGACCTAGAGACCTCCCACCTATTTCTCCAGTACCCATAATATGTTTTACTTCCTGTCAAAAGTAGAGAATCCCAAACACAGACCCTGAACAAAAACACCCCATCCATCCACACAGACTCCATATCAGGAACTGTGAGCTGTGGATGTCCCCATCCAGCACAGACTTAAACTACAAATAGTCCCCTCCCCGAGATCTAGATGCCAGAGATCTGAGCTGTGTACAGCTCACACCTTTGTCCAAGAATCCAGGGACCCAGCCCCCTACCGAGAATCTAGACTCTAGGACCCCTCAGCATTCCCTCCACCCCTCATATACACAGACCTCCTCAGACTCAGACACCCATACAGAGTCTTGGACACAGACAGCCTCCTCCAGAAGCCCAAACACTTGTTGGTCTAGGGGTCCCAGGCCTAACCTGTCCCTGAGTAATGGCAGACCCTGCACTAGGAAGGGCTTCAGGTGGCCAGACTGAAAGTTAGCTTGTCAGCCCAGCACAGTGAAATGTTTGTGGTCTTCTCACCACCTGAGGAATGCATTCTGCCAGCACCAGGCAGGAAGAGTGGCTGGTATCCAAACATCCCCTTAGCAGGAGAGGACTCAGGTGCCCACTGCCTGCCAGAGCTAGAATTTCCCTGTGGCATTTCTGAATCTTCTCCAGAGAGGCACTGGAATTTATCCCAGTCCTGGAAGAAGGCCAGGGGCTCACCTGGATAGCAGCCCAGTTCCTTAAAGGAACACTCCTCTGTTGTCCTCATGTCACCAATGTGCTTCCCCAGCCTTCTGCACAAGAGGCTTCATGGTCATCACGGCAGAGCCACAGCACCTCCAATTCCCTGCCCTCCCTATGAACCAAGACACTTGGCATAGCATTCAACCAGGCCTCAGAAAGAGGCTGTTTTATTGGATGCAATTCTGACATCATTTTACAGAGTCTTTTAGGCTTGAGACCAGGGCTAGAAGGTAGGACCAGGAGTCCCTCTGTGACGATGGAGGGAGGAGCAACAGGTATCTCTTCACATCAGGTGCTTAGCTGCGGACACTCCTATGAGTAGTCTTGAGGGAATAGGCCTTCAGGGTCCCAGGCTTCCCACTGCTGGAGAAGCTCAGGGCATTGCTGCCCATGGTTCCCCCGAAGGTCAGCTCATTGCCACCAGCACCAATGGAATTCAACACCGCTGGGAGAGAAGGGAGCCTGGCCGTCACGGAAGCCCACCACCACCAAGGACCTCATCCCTCGTCCACTCCCACCTTCTCACCACAGTTGCCCCTACCTTCTCCCACCTCCCTCCATCAGTGAACCCAAAAGGAGCCTCTATCAGCAGCAAGGACAGCTTCCTTAGGTGTGCCCAGCCCTGCCCTGCCCTGCCCTGCTGCAGCCAGGCTCAACTCCAGAGGAACTTCACCCACTGGAAGCTGGGGGAGGAAGGTTTGAGGGGTTGCTTGAGACAGGACCCTTAGGCCAATCTGCCTGCCATTCTACAGACCCACTAAAGCAAAAGTCACACTTCCCCAAGCCATCACCAAGAACTTACAGACGATGTTCACTCCATCACCGGTCAACCTGGGGGCAGAAGAGAACCATAAAGCAACTTTTCCTCATTGTTAAAGGGAAACACTCCCAGGCCCCCTCCCTACAGGCCCCAAGAGGGACCTTTGTTCTTTCCTCCCAGTCCCCACTTCCTGTTTTGCTTTCACCTTATTGCAAACCAACTCAGATGAGGGAATAGCAGGGTGGGTCCACTCTGGCCCTTTTGTCATCTGGCTGTGTGACCTTGGGCAATAGTCAATCTCATAATCTCCACTGCCTGGTATGTAAATTGGACCTAAGTAAGGTATCAATCTGCATGGACTATGTAAAGCCTTGGGCACACAGGCCTCGGTCAATGGTAGCTGCCAATATTATCTAATAGCAGAAGGCTGTCTTATCTAATTGGATCATAAAATCCTCAAATTCAGCTATAGCTTATTGATTCCTCTGTCTCCCTAGCTCTCAGCATGAGGCCTAGCATATAACAATGACTTCATATGTGTTGAAATAATTAGTGAATTGTTGACAGATTGAATGCAGCTCCAGCCAGGCCCGAGGAAAGAGAGGGTAGGTAGGTGGGGTGACTTTAAGCAGCCTGTGGGAATGAAACAGGTCTTGCAGGGGAAATTAAAAATCCATTCTAGACAGCTGGGTGTGTTTGTTTTGTGATTCATTGCCCCATTGTCACCAAGCCCTTGGCCTTGCGGATTAGTTTGCTTTGCAGGGTGAGGGGGCTTATCCAGGTGGGGGAATGACCTCAGCAGCCTGGACCCAGAAAGGAGCCCAAACAATGGCAAAGGCAAGAGGTGAATGTGCTGGAAAGCCTGTAGGCTACTTGCCTGAATAGTCCAAGCAAGTGATGGTAATGGGTGGGGAGCCAGGTTGCTATCAGAAAGCAATGTATGTGAGAGTTTCTGGGACAATGCCTACAGAGATCTTGGCAAGAACGGCCCTGAATGTCCAAGGCGCTAGTCATTTGTGTCACTTTTCTTTTCTCATTCTAAAGAAAAGACTATTTTTGTGACCAGCTGGACAATTGCAATGGCATGTTCTTGAAGAAAGCTACTCAGAGTATCTAAACTTCAGGTCTACCTTAGATCTGCCCCTGAAGAGGCTGATCAATTAAAGGATAAATACAAGTCCTCTGTCTCCAAGTCCCCAAAGGAGTAAAAAGAGTGAGTGTCTTCTCAGAAAACAGGAAAGCTTCCAGGAGAATAAACAAACTTCCCATGTTATCTTCTTTGTTGGGTTCCAACAAAAAAAGCCTCAACTGTTCTACTTCAAAGCCTTTCCCCACACTGCACCCTGTCACTCTCCCCAAATCCTAACCGTCCCTCAATCCCAACCTTCATGCAAAGAGCAACTTGAAGGCCTATTCTGTTGACTCAATGAATCAACCAGTCCATCAATGTGAGAATGGAGACCCAAAGCATGAGCCTTGTCTTTAGTGAAGAATTCCCTATAAGACTAACCCACCCCAGCATCCTCTCTGGCTTCAAGTAAATAGGCAAACATCTCTGGGTCAGGATGAAACCAATCTCCTCCCCCACCTTTGGTCACGAAGACCTGATTTAACAAGAATATCTAGTAAGAAGCCTGGGATCACTGAAGATGTTTGCACCAGGAATCAGCAGACCTTGACTTAACTAAATAATGTGAGCCACAATTCTCTTTCTTGAGAGTCTGTAATCCCTGATCTGACTACCTGACATGTTTGGACAATCAAATAAGATTGCCCTACAAACACACTGTTTCAACCTCTCCACTGTTTTACACCACGTGGTCTATTCTTTTGCAAATTCATCTCTTTGAGGGCAAAGCAGCAGACATTGACTCTACCCCACACACCCCCCCTCAGCTCTGCCCTCTGCTCTACCCACTCCTGACGTCCATCAGAAGGTGGAGAACACAGGCATTTCCTATTGATGGATGAGCATCAAATGCCAGGCTCTACCGAGTCTTGGAAGGTGCCCCATTCCAGCTTCCCAGTCCTCACCGGTTCTCCTCGCCCTCCAACAGCTTGCGGTAGGTGGCGATCTCGATGTCCAGGGATATCTTGACGTTCATCAGCTCCTGGTACTCGCGCAGCTGCCGGGCCATGTCCTGCCTGGCGCGCTGCAGGGCAGCCTCCACCTCCTCCTGCTTGGTGCGCGCATCCTTGAGCGCCAGCTCCCCTTTTTCCTCAGCCTCCGCAATGGCAGCCTCCAACTTGGCGCACTGGGGACAGTAGGGCAACTGTGAGCTGGACAGCACAGCTTAACGGCCAGTGCTTTCCCGCTTCCCAGCCTGCAGAAAGCACTGGGCAGACTGCTGAAGGTGTCATCATGGGCACCAGTTTATTTCCTCAAGCACCAGGGACTCTCAAAGGTTAAAAACCTGGGTTTCTATGCCTGATGGGTTCCAATTCTGGTCTAACTCCTTACTCTGTGACCAGATGAGTCATTTAATCCCTCTAAGCCAGAATCTCCTCTCTTCTAAGATAATAATGAGAATGTCTACATCATAGGGATATTGAATGAATGAAATATATGATAAAATGTACATAAAGTGCCTGCCACACAATAGCAACTTAATTAATACTGTTTATTAAGACTATAAAGGCCCATCCTTGCTGGAGATCTAACACTACAGGGTCCTAATTGAGTCTCGCATGTTAGATAACTGACCACAATCAGAAACCATTTTCAAACTACAAACTTCTAGAATGGGCTTGAACAGAGGGCTTGGAGCAGAGAGACCCAGCTTGGAGCACACAAGCCTCAAAGAACATGATCAACAGCCTGCTGGGCTGGGCAGGGATGGTCTGACTCCAAAGGCACCAACTGCCTTGAGTCTTAGTGTTCCCTCTGTTCCGTGCTCAGCCCCCACTACTGGGAGTCCGTCTAGTCCAAGGGCCTCCACTTGTTCTGCTTTAAGGGCTGCCACGTCCACCCTCTAGCCTCGAGCTTCTCTTCCTTCTTTCTCCACACTTCTTCCTCTCACATGATGTTCCCTGTCTCTCTGCCTAGTCTTCCCTGGCCCTAGCCCTGAGCCTTCTCATACCTCTCTATCCCCATGCACTATCAAACCAGTACCCCTGTACCACCTCAAACCGGAGGGACTGGGCCGGCCATCCCCACCTGAGGACTCAGACCTTGTCTGTCAGGGGTGAACACCTTGACCCTGAGTGCCGGCCCTGCCCCACTGTTCAAGAGGAGAACCAGATATGGTGGACACATAGGGCTCAGGGAAATTCTGTTCACTATTCAGTCCCTTCTTCCCAGGCTGGAGGCTGGCCTGCTTCACAGGGTGACTCATGGCCCCGTATCTGTGCCAGGAGGCAGCCTCTGCTCTCCTGGTAATGGGCCTTCAGGGCTCTCAGGGGAGGACACTCCTGAAAATCACCCATCTAAGCCCCTGCTTGTGAAGCTGCTGAGACACGCACCACCTTCTCAGACACCTGTGCAGAATGCAGACACAGACAGGACGTGGAGGGACCTTCCCCGTCAACATCCCCTCCCTGACTTCCAGCGAAGCATATCTTAGTTGTTCTTCATCCAAGACCTAGTTCCTGATTGCGGAGCAGATGCTAGAAAAGAACAGCCAGCTAGACAGACGAGGCCCCTGCTCTCAGGGCATCAAAACCTTCATGTGCCAGATATGTCTCCACAGAGACAGGTGCATGAAAGGACGTTAGCCAGGTTGCTATTGAGATAGTGGCTTGGTGGCTGCAGAAGACACCTCTGAGAAAGGGGCAACCACAATTAGAGCTGGGAGAAAAGCGTTCCAGTAGGAATGAAAGGAACTCAAAGTGCACAAGCCCTGAAGCAGGACCTTGCTGGGCAAATGAAAGATACAGAAAGCAGGCCTGGAGAGAGAGGCACGATGAAAGGTCTGGCCAGGAGGCAGGTAGGGACCCGTGAACCATGGAAGTATTTTTCTTGTTTTCTGGCTTCTTTCTCATTTCTGCTTCTGCTCTGTGAACCCCCAGATTCCACATCTTGTCTCTCGAGCTGCAAGAAGAGTGCTCGGCTCTGGTTGAGAGGTAATGGCAGTTCTTGTCTGGTCATCCACAGACTCTCACAGTTTCTCTGTCCAGTCAGGACTCCCTCTTCCAAGGTGAGACAATGGGCTGGTTGGAGAACATTCTGCTCATACCATTGGCCATGCTCCTCCCCTCTTGTTAAGATCCCACAAATGGGCCTGAGACATTCAAGGTGCATCAGCCTAAGTCCAGCGAAAGGCAGCCTGATCCCTTCATCCCCAACCTCCTCTACCTCAGCCCGGCATTTGGCCTCTCCTGGCCGCCCCTGAACTGATCCCAAGGAGCAGGAGCAGCAGGGATGAGGGCACGTCCCACCTGGTTCTTGACGTTGTCAGACTCAGCCTGCAGCCTCTGGATGGCCCGGTTCATCTCCACAATCTCGTTCCGGGTGTTACGGAGGTCGTCTCCATGCTTCCCAGCCTGGGCCTGGAGGGTTTCCAGCTGGATAGTTCAAGCAAAGAAGTATGGCAGGAGTGAGTCAAGGTTACAGGTGACTCAATCCTCTGTCCACACAAGGAATGCCTTGTTCCAGGTATTGAGTCTGCCTGGTTTCTATTTCCAGGGAGAGACCCTTAGACTCCTAGTAAATTTCATTTAACTCCAGGAAATCAGACCATGGGGAAGTGAGATGAGAAGGGGCTCAGTCCCCTCTAGGTCAGACGGAGAGGCCAAAAAAGGCTTGCTGGGGCCCATCCTCACTAATTTTGTGCCTACTCCCACTCCCATCATGCCCCAGGGCTGGAGAATCACTGAAAATCTGAGCCCTTTGCTTGTTATACAATATCCTTATCAGCACCACCCATTTCACAGACTAGACAAGTGAAGCTCAGTGAAGAAAAGACACTGTCCCAGGGCCACAGAGAAAAAGGCCCAAGTCTGGTTGCCCTGTTGGCATACTTATGTTCTTACCTGTGCACATGGGTGACTCCATGGCCTCTCTGCAGAAATATCCCTCTATGCTGCTTTTAACCCTGCCTCAGGGTCCCTCCTCCAGGACCCCCTTGTCTAAAGCTCCCCTCCTCCAGGACCACCTTCTGGGTCCACCTCTGCCTCCCTGCCCATTCCATGAACACCTCCAAGGCTGGCAGTCCCATCTCCATGCTGCATGTATAGTGACTAAACCTCCCAGCGTCCCATCTCTGCTCTTCCTTCTACAAACTACGTGGAACAGGGCAAATTATTTCACTTTTCTGTGCCTCGATTTCTTAGTTTTTAAAATGTGTAATATAACAGTAGCTGATGGATTAAATTAGTTGTTGCATGCAAAACATTGGAAACATTGCTTAGCACTCCCTGTGTACCTACCCACCACCATTGAGTGGATTCAGAGTGACCCTACATATAGGACAGAGTAGAACTGCCCTGTAAGGTTTCTGAAGCTATGAATCTTTATGGTTCTTTCCCATGAGGAACAGCTGGGGGGTTCGAATTGACTACTTTTTGGCCAGCAACACAACATTTAGCCCACTATGCCACCAGGGCTCCTCAGCACTATGTTAAAAAAAACAATACATCACTGCCATTGAGTTGGTTCTGACTCTCCTCAGATTTCTAAGGCTGTAGATCAGAATGGGAGGAGACTGCCCATCCTTCTACAGAGCTGTTGGTGGATTTAAACTGCCAAAGATGTGCAGTCTTTTGTTAGCAGCACACTGTGCCACAAGATCTATCTCCCTCAGCACTGTGTAAGTGCTTGATCAACTTTAACTATCATAACTGTTCATAAACCTCTATTTTCCCTGCTCTGTTCTTCCATCAGGGCAGGACACTGGCCTCTCATCCTCATCTTCCCAGAACCCAACCAAGCATCACAAATGGCCACTGATATGTGCCAGAATAGAGGAACCCCAGGTTCTCAAGGCCTCAAGGGAAAGTGAGGGCACTGTCACTGATAGTCCTGATCGGAGCACACAGTCCATCCCAGGAATCACACACCTTAATCTGGTACTGAGTCTCAGCCTCTGCCCGGCCACGCTTGGCCATCTCTTCATACTGGGCCTTGACCTCAGCAATGATGCCATCTAGGTCCAGGGTGCGGCTGTTGTCCATTGACAGCACCACAGACGTGTCTGAGATCTGGGCCTGCAGCTCTGCCAGCTCCTAGAGTGATCAGACAGAATATTAGGGCCTGGAGTGTGATCCACCCTCCCTCCCATTACCAACGCTGGGATTTCACACACACAAGGGAGGAAAAAAGGCAAAGAAAGGAGACAATGCAGTAGGCATGCATCTGATAAGATTCTAAGGGCCAATGACAGTGAGCTGCAATGGTTACCAGCTGTGAGATGCTGGGGGCTATTCTATCTCTTGTAAGTGGCCAGTGGGGACAGGTGACATATACTACACTCCATTCTATAACAAACTCAAAAACGCAAACTCATTGCTGTGGAGTAGGAACTGACTCAAAGCTGACCCTCCAGTGGGTTTTCTGAGGCTGTAAATCACACAGGAGGAGATTGCCTATCTTTTTCCTGAAGAGCTGCTAATGGATTTGCAATGGAATACTATGCACCATGTAGGAGCAATGATCTTGTAAATCACTACCTAACTTGGGAGGCACTGGAAAGCATTATGCTGAGTGAACTAACTCAGTGCCACAAGAACAAATACTTGTATAAAACCATTATTGTAGAATGAGTATGAGGACCCAAGGGAGGTAGGGTAGAAACAGAGGGGTGAGGATGGGCGGTGGAGGGGGTGGTTAATCATAGGGGTGCACAGTTTGATGGGGGAGGTAAAGGAAATGGGAAAGATCCAGTGTGAAAAACAATTTATTAGAACTTTGTAAATAAATCAATATAAAATAACATTTTAAAAAAAGAGTTGTTAGTGAATTCAAAACAACAGAGAGGTTTGAATTGCAGGACAATACCACCTTTATAGCCTCTAAAAACAAGGATCTGACTGTATTTACCATTATAAAAACATGATCATAGTCTGGAGGCCTAGTGATAAAAATCTGTGCTACAATCCCAAAGGCACATGGTTCAAATCCACCAGCTGCTCCACAGAAGAAGAGTGTGTATATTTGTGCGTGTATGTGTATACACATATATATATATATGTATACACAGAGGAGTGAGTGAGTGTGTGTGTGTGTGTGTGTGTGTGCGCGCGTGTGTGTACTTGCTATGCATTGGAAAGCTGGACAATGACTAGGGATGATAGAAGGAGAATTGATGCCTTTGAGTTGTGGTGCTGGAGGAGAGTACTGAATATACCATGGACTGCAAGGAGAACAGGCTTGTCCTGGAGAGGGTGAAAATGGGCTGCTTCTTGGAGGCAAAGATTCTGAAGCTCTGTCTGACATATTTTGGACATATTACAAGGGAAGACTGATCCTTGGAGAGGGACATCATGCTTGGGAGGGTGGAGGGACAGTGCAAGAGAGGAAGACCCTCAATGAGATGGATCGATCCAATAACTGGGCCAATGAGGGTAGGTATGTCAGGGGCAATAAGTTGACACAGGATAGAGCAGAGTTTAAGGCTCTTTTACATATGGCCGTTATGAGTCACAAGCAACTTAACAGCACATAACAACAACAACATATACATTTGTTGTTGTTGTAAGCCGTTGAGTCAGGACTGGCCCATAGCTGATTCTTCAGTGGGTTTTCAAAGGCAGTGAATTGCACAGGAGGAGACAGGCTGACCATCCTTCTTCTGTAGAGCAGCTAGTGGCTTCAAACCACATGCCTTTGGGATTACAGGGCAGTTTTTTACTACTAGGTCACCATAGCTCCCTGATTAGATAGATAGATAGATAGATAGATAGATAGATAGATAGATATAGATAGATTTGTGTGCCCATGAATATATTTATGAATAACATGCTAATCTCCTCTGGTTGCCTCTGAAAACCCACATTGAAGGGTCAGTTTTGAGTCAGTTCTGACTTTATGACACACAACAACTCCAACAACGTGTATATAATACGTGATCAGCGTACAAAGATTTTGCCTATACTGAAGTGAGAAGTGCTCGAAATAAGTTTCAAGGATCCAGCCCTTGAAATGAACACTTATGTAGAAATTTACTCTGGGGGCCTAATAGCTATAATTTTAAAATACATTCACTGCCATCAAGTCAGAACCGACTGATGGCTGACGCTCCAGTGGGTTTTCAAAAACTGTAAATTACACAGGACTTCCCATCTTGCTCCTGAGGAGCCACTAGACATTCAAGTGGACAGAAAGGTGCAGCCTTTGGGTTCTCAGTGCAACTCCCTCAGGGCTAGGCCGCCAGAGCTATGATACTGTTGTTAGGTACCACTGAGTCAGACCTGACTCATAGCTGACCTTCCAGTGGGTTATCAGAGGTGGTAATTGCATGGGAGGAGGTTGCCCATATTTCTCTTGTGGATGGAGCAGCTGATGGATTTGAACAGCTTGCCTTTGGGTTGACAACACAGCTCCTTACCAGTAGGACACAAGAGCTCCCTGACCAGATCTACAGGTACAGAAAGAAGATTAATTAGATTGAGAGGAACTAAGAACTGGTCTATGATTAGCATCATGTGTAAAATACATGCACTAAACTCTGTCACGGTGCCTTCTACCTAAAGCCAGAGATACACAGAGGAAAGGAACAACTTTTTAACTTTCAAGAGGGGAAAGGAACTGAAAGGTCAGGACAGATTAAGGGTTGGAGGGAGATTACAGGACGGAGGGCAAGGACAAGGAGCATGTCCAGCTGATGGGCAGCCACCCACCCAGTCCTACAACGCAAACTCTCAGTCACTTCAGTCTCCCCTGAGTGGTCTCTCCTGCATGGTCTATCCAGCTCAACTTTGAACACTGTCACAGGGATCCTGAGACCTCCCCTCTGGTTCCTTTCAGTACCTCCCAATCCCATTTCCTAACAAAATCTGCTTTGGTCATCTCATAGCTCCAAAGGCCAACTTTAAATGGCCCCGCCCTGTCCCATTACCCTAAGCTCCTCTTTGCACTCAAGGCCATTGTGGATTTCTGAGTTCCAAAACAACCAAGTCACTGAGGACTCATGGTGACTTCTATATCAGAGAACAGTGCTCCACAGGGTGTTTAAAAGGCAGCTTTTATAGAAGCAAAGCAACAGGGCTTTCTTCCAAGAAGCCCTAGAGTGGACTTGAACCTCTAATCTTTCAATTAGCAGCTGAGAGTGTTGTTTGTATCATCCAGTGAAGAACAGGATAGTGCCACTGCCACCACCCCAAATAGAGAGAGACAGAGACAGAGAGAGACAGACACACTGGCTTAGAGGCAGGACCCTGACCCTGGTTGGGCCAGGACCAGCATGCTCATAACCTAGAAGGCCTCACCATGTCATAGAGGTTCTTCAGGAAATTGATCTCATCATTAAGGGAATGCACCTTGGCCTCCATCTCCACTTTGTTCATGTAGGCAGCATCCACATCCTTGGAAGAGGACAGAGGGACACCACACCCTCAGCACATAGCACACTGACTGGGGTGCAAGGAAGCCAGCACCATCCAATCCACAGGACCCAAAACCACCATTCATCACAGCCAGCGTCCTCATACTTCCTGTCATGGCCACAGCAGGAAGGCTCTGGGCCTTCCAGGTTGTGTGATGGGCATTATTTCTGGGCATCCCCAGGAGCGAAGTGCCTCCTTAATATGAGTAGCTAACAGTAGCCTAGAGCCCCCAGACCTAGCACTTCTAATAACTAATGATTCTGATGATTTGGACACACTCCTAGCTCCACCTCCTACCAGGTATGTGACCTTGAACAAATCATTAACACTGTAAGCCTCAACTTTTCATCAGGAAAATGGATGAGCAAAACTGCAAAAATTATTTCCATTTCAGGACAGTTACCCTAGAGATGACAACCCTGAAGCCAAAATGTTTAACCAGTAACATGAGTGATTCTGATGGTGGGCTTTGTACCATGCTTTAATGTCACAGGCAGAGATGATGTCTGGGACCTCTTTTTGTTGTCCTCTCCAGTGGTTCAGCTCCTTGAAACAGGACCCACTGTTAACACACTGCCTCTCCACAGATCCTGCATCCCATGATAGACTGCCTTTGCAGTCATGCTGTTGAAATCTCTCTAAAACATTCCTATGGCTGCTCAACCTCAGCTTGTATATCTTCAGCGAAGGGGAGTTTGCTCTGGACTGAAAAAATCCATTTTACTTGGGTAGTAAAACGTTCAGGCCCTCCATGTGCCACTTTGTCTGTAATGGCATGTTGGAATGTTCTGACACTCTGAGAGAGGTCTTCCTTATGTGGGGGTTGAAATCTCTCTTCTAACCTTCACCCTTTTGGTTCTACCCTATGGGTGCCCAAAATAAAGTGTAGTGACTCACCAGGCACGCGCGCGCGCACACACACACACACACACACACACACACACACACACAGTGGTATATCAGCAACTTCTAGATCCTACCCTCTCCATACCCACTACTCCCCTCTTGCAGGGCCCACACCACACTGGGGCCGCAAGTTGCCATTGCTTCCCAGGTGAGAAAGCTGTTTTCAGCTCCAAGCTGTCTGTGGTCTCACCTTTTTCAGCACCACAAACTCGTTCTCAGCACTCATGCGATGATTGATTTCATCTTCATACCTGCAGCAGAGGCAAGGGAAGGGTGTTGGTGCAGGTTTACCAGCATCTCCCACCATGATCCCTGACCTCAACATCCAGCATTGAAAAGCTGCCCTGCATCCTCCACCCCTGTCTCAATGATACACCTGAAGAAAACAGGTGTCTGGCTATGAAACCAAATTTCCCTGACTTTTCTATTGGTTGTTCCTAGAGTTTTGAATGTTAGCATACGGTGGAGTGGGGAGAGGAGAAAGGGAGAAGGGAGAAGGGAAAAGGAAAAGGAGAGAGAGAGAGAGAGAGGAGAGAGGCCAGGAGAGAGGAGATAAAAGAGGGAAGAGGGGAGAGAAGAGAGGAGAAGGGAGAAGAGAGAGGGGAGAGAAAGAGACCCACACACATTTGGATGATACCTAGCAACAAGTGTTTCTAGGTTGTTTGAGTTCTGGCCCTTCACCTGTCTGGTTCCACCAGCTGTGTGATTAATCCTATTGAGTTTTGCCCTAGGGGAGAAAGGGAGGGGCACCCCCAGAGGTCTCATTTTCTCTCCTCCAACTTGAGCTGGTATACTCAATCATGCACCCGGAGGAAGAGCATGTCTTCCTGGGTGGGGCTGGGCCCAAGCCTCAGGCTTTGGTTTCTATTCAATGAGAAAAGAGCTCTGTAGGCAGTTGAAAGGCCTTTTCTTTCAGAAGACCCAACCCTGCTCATACTGTGGCTTTTTGTCTGGTCCCTGCTGGAAACCTAAAAGCTCAGAGGCTGCAACCCTTCCCCTTCTCCGCCTTTGCTTCCTTCCTTCCAAGTTGGCTCTGTGTCTGTTGACGTTTTTATTGTTAGGTGCCATGTAGTCAACTATGACTCATCGTGACCCAATGAACAATAGATCTGACATCTTGCCCCAGCACATGCCATCCTCATCATCCTCAATATACTTGAGTCCATTGTTACACCTAGCGTGTCAATTCATCTCATTGAGGGTCTTCTTCTCTTTCTATGACCCTCCATCTTCCTCAGTGTAATATCTTTGTCCAAGGAGTAGTTCCTGCTAACAAAATACCCAAAGTATGTGAAACAAAGTTTTACTATCCTTGACTGAAAGGAACACCCAAGACATATCTCTTTGCTCTTTTGGCATTTCTTATCTGAGGAGTACAAATTTAAGCCCCATCTCCCTTTGACTTGCAGTGTGCTCTTAGTCAAATCCTGAACCACTCTGCTCTCTTAATTCTTCACGTGAACAATATGGAGTTGTTCTAGAATTATCCATGAGGGTTAGGTCAGCTCTGAAGCACATCTGTCACAGGATGCTTGTCCTTTCTGGGATCTTGTTCAGGTACCCAGTGGGAAACAGGTCAGGGTTGGGCTGAGATATTCACTAAGATTGAGTTTGGAGAAAAGACCGGAATAATTTGGCAACAGCCCCCAAAGACAAAGAAGTAGAATATAATCTAGGGAATATGCTGTACTGAGCAGTTGGCTTCTGATCCCTGACCCAGGGGGACTTGCAGAAAGGCCAGCTAATGAAGGACATAAAAGCCCAAGGTCAGGGGTTCACATTGTGAGGTGGGGGGGACATTACTTATTCTTGAAGTCTTCCACAGCATCCTGTGTGTTCTTCAGCTCCACCTCCAGGCGATCCTTATCTGCCCGCAGCACCTCAAGCTGCCTCTGGAAAGCCGTTATCTGGGCCTCGAAAATGCCTGGGAGGCGGCTGCTCTTGCCTGTCTTCTGCTCCTGCAGCAGCGCCCACTTGGTCTCCAGCAGCTTGTTTTGCTGCTCCAGAAACCGCACCTATAAGAAAGAATGGGACTCATAAGGAGCCCAGTGATCCCCACAGAAGAGCTGAGGAAGAGCTCCAGCCTCTCAACAGAGCCTGAGTTCTCATTGGCTGTTTCTTGACCTAAGTCATCAGCCCTTGTCCCTCTCCTCCAGGAAGTCGACCTGGAATAAGCTCCCAGGACTTCCTGTCTCAAGGGTCCTAAAGTATGACTCAGGGACTAGTCCTGCCTAGCTCTCAATCTATCTCTGCTATCTGGTTCTCAAAATATGTGCTTGAGTCATCTCCCTGCTCCCTCTACCTCCTTCTCCATGTGTTGTTCCTAGGTCCTGGGAACAAGAGTCTCTCTCCCACTCTACCCCTGACTCCACACAGCATCTTCTCAGGGGAAGGGGCCCAGAAAGAGAACTCTTGGGCTTGACCTCTGGCGCTCCCATGCTGACACTGGTGCCAAAAGTGGCCCCAAGAAACTCAATGGTTCCTTGACAGAGCCAGTCTGGGCAGCTGGAGATCTCACCCAGGTACTAGGAGGAAAACCAATCTATTACAGGATAGTTTATTTGGTCTCATTGCAAATCCTGAAGGACAAGGCTTCCAAGCCTTTGATCTTTAAGGAAGCTGACTCCCACATCTCTTCCCCTCTTCGCCTCCAAGGAGTTGGTGCACACTCCAACTGCCAGCCTTCAGGTTAGTAACTGAACACTGAACCACTGCACTTCCAGGGCCCCTGCTTAGAGAAAGTGACTCATAGCTGACCCTCCATTAGGTTTCCAAGACTTCAAATTGTGGGGAAGGAGATTGACCACCTTCCTTCAGAGGAGCTGCTAGAGAGGCGTGGCCTTTGGGTTAACCGATGAGGCTCCCTGGAGGGGTAATTGGAGAAGTTTTGGGGGAGGAGAGAGCTGGGCTCCTGAGACGAACTAAATAACCTCCGGGCTGGTGGAATGGGAGCAGAACTTTCGCTAATATTGACAAGAGAGAACGGGGAGGTCTCCCAACATCCCGCAGGTTTCAGACAAAGAGTGGTTCCTGTGGCCTGTAGCGTGGTTAGGGTAGCTTGGTTTAGGGTAGCTTGGCTTAGGGCAGGAAGGGTAGGACTCACCTTGTCAATGAAGGATACAAACTTGTTGTTGAGGGTCTTGATCTGTTCCCGTTCCTCCTGGCGCACCTGCTGAAGGGAGGGGTCGATGTCCACCTTCAGCGGGGTCAGCAGGCTCTGGTTGATGGTGATTTCGCGGATGCCAGCCATCAGCGGGGCCTGGTAGGGGGGGGACATAGGCCCACGGGGTCGCGAGGCGCCCAGGCCGTAGAAGCCGCTGCTGCGGAGGCCCCCGGAGCGGCCCGCGCTCAGGCGCACAGAGGCGCTGCGGCCGGGGTGGGTGGCCGAGCGCGAGCTGAAGACCTGGGACCTGAAGTGCGTGGACATAGCGGCCGCACAGAGCTGGACGGCGGTGGAGAAGAGCAGCGCCAACTCCCTGACCACCGGGACTGGCCCCTTTTAACCACTGGGCTGGGCGGATCCGTTTGCACAGGTAGGGGCGGGGCTGTCCGTCGGCCACCTTTCACTGCCCCATAGGTCCCTCCCGGGCTGCACTTAGGTCTTCTGCGACGCCCACTCCACGGGAACCCAGACATTGGCCAAAGTTGGAGTAGTCTCAGACAGGAATGAAGAAGTGTGCCCCCAAAGCCCCCACATACAGGGAACGCAGGGAGGGGGTGGGGGCTGGGCACTCAGTCCAGGAAGGGTTACCAAAGAAGGTTTGAGAAAAGGATGAAGAAATTCCTGACGCCAGTGTACAGAGACCATCTGGTAGGAGATGGGGTGAAGGGGAGACAAAAAAGTTCCAATTCCAGGACTCATCGCCCAGACCTCCCCACCCAGGCAGCTGAAAACCAAAAAGATATTCCTAACCCCGCCCACGAAGCCCCACCACCCTTCCTGAGCCCTCCAAATCTAGTCCTTCTCCAGAGATCAGCTCAGTTCTCGAATAATCTGACCCCAAGAGATGCTTGACCTCAGTGGGAGACGTGCTTGAGCCTGGCCAGGTCTCACTGACCACATACATCATGCGCCTCAGTCGGCACTGAGTCAGACATCAACTCACTTCTGACCATTCCGGCAGGCATCTGAGGCCAGTACGACTGGTGCTCCCCACCCTGTGGGCATGCCCATTTATTTGTCCCTTTAGAGAAGGAGATCCCTGTGTGTCTCTGTGACCCTTCAGTGTACACACACCTGTAGGCTGTTATGCTTTGCGTAGATATATGTATGTCTGTCCATGTGTAAATGAATGGGAGCTTGTGGGTGTGTGCAAGTGGGAGGAGCATCTGGGCATATATAATTGCACACATCAGACAAATATCTTTGGGCTACCCTATTGCTGTCTGTTTGACAATGACTCATAGTGACCCCAATGTTGAATTGTTCCATCAGGTGACCTTGGCTGCAGAACTTTCTGGAAGCAGATCACCAATCTTTTCTTCCACACACTGCTGTTGTTGTTATGGTGTTACATGCCATTGAGTCGATTATGAGCCATAGTCACCCTATGAACAAGGGTTCTGAACTTCGCCCTGTCCTGTGTCAGCTCCGTCATCTCTGATATACTTGAGCCCATTGCTGCAGTCACTGTGTCAATCTATCTTGTTAAGTGTCTTCTTCTCTTAGGCTGACCCTCCACCTTTCCAAGTATGATGTCCTTTTCCAAGGACTGGTTCCTCCTTAAAAAAAAAATGCCCTAAGTGTGTGAGACAAACCCTGCAAGAGGGTGCATACCACCAACCTTTAACTTGGGACCAATCACAGACCACTTGCACCACTTGCTTGTATTCACTCTCAAACATTCTTCCCCATTCCCTGTCCTTTCCATTTTTCTGTTTAAGAGCTATCAGATCTGCCACCAAGATTCACACACATTTGATGGTGAAGCCACCATCAAACAATTCTCAGAGGTTCCAAACCCAACTCAAAAGGGGGGGGTAACACAGTATTGAAACAGAGCACAATGGACTGAGTCATTGTTAACCAAGGGCCTCACTTCCTAGTAGCCTCCAGCCCCACAGGCCACACCTTCTCCACCTCACAGTTCAGACCCTGCTCATCCGCAGCAGGGGAGCCTTTTGAAAAGCTCTGTGACCTCTAGCCCAATGAGCTGGGAAGATTGTCACCTTAGCCAAGGCCTGGAGGAGTCCTGGGAGGAGAAAGGTGAGAAAGGTTTGCTGTTTCACACAAGAAATTACTCCCAGCAAGGCTAAATCTGGGGCACTTCCCAGTGATCACAGGGAAGCTCTCCAGCTACACTAGGAGTTTAAGGACAGCTTAGCTCAGAAGCAGAGGGACATGGAAGGAGACAGTCTTCTGCCTGCACACTTTCGTGTGTGTGTGTGTGTGTGTGTGTGTGTGTGTGTGTGTAGGGTGATAAGAGAGATAGACAGACAGGGAGAAGAAAGAGATTTAAACTCAAATAATCCAAAGGAAAAAAAAAAAAACTCAAATAATCCACTGTAGCTTGAAGCTCATGCCGTTTTCCTGGTCCTGGAATACGTACAATCATGGAGATTCCACTACAGCCACCCACACCCAAGTGGGCAAAGAAAAGCATTTGTTTAATTTACATACACACAAAGGAATGCACCCACCCTGTACTCGCCCCTCAGGACTCCTCCTGATTCTGCTTATCTACGCTCCTCCCACCCCTTCTGCCACCCCTCACTTGCTCTCCTGCCTTCAACTAGCCAGCAGAATCTGTATGCTGGAGGAGGCTACGCCCCACTATGGCCTAGAATTTCACCCTCTACTTTACTTCCCTAAAAGTTGGTCTGAGAAATCTTTAGCAAGATGAGCTATCTGGTGACCCTAGAACCTGGACATGCTCTTCCCAGAGCCCCCACTTACCTAAAGCGGGGTGGCGGGGGGGGGAGGAGGCATATTTGTGAAGGAGCATAGAGACTGGCTGCAGAGATGGGTCTGCCTGCCTGGACTGGCACCTCCCCTTGGGCAGTGCCTTCCTGTTCCAGCACCTGTTCTCTGCCTGTCCTCAACCATGGCATCCTCTCCCTAAAGCACTCCTGTCAGCTCTGGCCATCACCAGTCTCCTCCTGTCCACATTCACAGGCTCACGCTAGGCACCCAGGCACCTAGTCCCCAGGAGCTCTGGTACCAGGCAGCGCATATAAACACCTGGAGAGTTCCCAAGAGACTGTCAACACTGAAGACTGAGGATCAAACCCACGCCCCAAAAGAGTTCAAGATCTAGTAGATCATCCAGACTCAGCTCCCTCCCCAAGCCCATGCCTCTCTCAGTCTTCAGAAACTTCCTTAGGGAACTTTGAGGAGAATCTTGGGGTAAATCAGTCTCACGAAGCCCATCCTTCAGTAGTCCTTTGCCCACCCCCAAAGACTCTTTCTAGCTCTAGTATTTGTGACCCCACCAAGTCCACACTCACTTGGCCTCCCACACTCCATCTCCCTTCTCACTGCACCCTCTGCAACCCAGCTCTGCACAGCCAAGAATCCCAGTCTCTGAGCCCTTCTGTGCTTCACTCTACAACCTTGTGGCAAGTACCTTGCTTCTCCTCTCCCAAGAAGATGAGACATTCTCTTGTGCTTCCTTCTGCATTTGGAGAGAGGGGTCTCAAGTAGTATAATCGGTCACTTCCACTACAGGCATATCTCAGTATCTCAGAGACCTTGCACGTTTGTCTCCAGACAACCCAATAAAGTGATTATCATGATCAAACGTGCAACACAAATTATCTGGACTCCTAATGTGCATAAAACTTATGTTTATACTATTTTGAAGTCTATTAAATATACAATAGCATTATGAAAAGTTTGAACTATTATGAGGATTTCCAAAATGTGACGTGGAGACATGTAATGAGCACAAGCAATTGGAAAAAAATGAATATGCCCAGTGACAGGTTCCCACAAAGCTTTCATTCATGAAAAATGCAATATCCGGGAAATATAATCAATATCAAGAAGGATGCTTGTGCTAGCCTAAAGGTTGGTGTTTTAAAGACAGCCCTACTGATCTGCTCCTAAAAAGTCACAGCTGTGAAAACCCTGCTGGCAGTTGGAGTCTCCAGGAGAGAGATGAATTTGACTCAGGAGCAATTGATTTGGTTTCTACTTTTGTATTTGCATTTGCCTTTGGAAAGATGGGAAAAAACAAACAACTTTGCCTTTGATTATCAAGGAAAAAGAGGAGGCTCCCCCCACCATTATTTTGGAATGTAAAGGTTGGTAGTTATGATAAAAATCATTTCACATTTCTGTATGGGTTATAATCTTTTTTAAAAAAGAAAAGTCAAATGGTAAAAGAACAAGGAAGCAATAGCACATACAACAACCAACAGGCTTATTTCCTGAACACACAAATCATTAAAAAGACAAACAACCCAACAGAAAAATGGACAGCAGACATTATTACTTTTAGTAATTGGGCTATTTTTGGTTATTGTTGTTAGTCGCCATAAAATGGGCTCCACCTCATCCTGGTAGCCTCCCGTTTAACAGAAAATACAGCCCAGACTGCAACATCATAGCAACTTACTACCAATGAGACAAGCTGCTGTTTAAGTCCTTTGTATCCATCAGCCCAGTTAGTTTTCCTAATAACTCTGCCATGAAAATACACCTTGCTGTCCCACTTTTAGAGAAGAGACTTAGGTATAATAAATTCACACAAATTGTCCCCAAAATCACACAACTTGTGTAAACACGATATGCATAAACACTAGGCCTCGAGCTAGCAGATTGCCCCAGTGGATTATTTCTACTACTTTTACTGTGAACAGAAAGTTCATAGAAGAAAAAAGAGATCAAGTAGTAAATGTGAAAAAAGAGTTCAACCTTATTAAAAGAAACCAATGCCACAAGAATAACAATAAAAAGCAATTTTCATCTATCAAACTGCCAAAGACTAAATTGTGTCCTCAGTAGTAGCGCTGGCAGTTATGTGGACAATAGAATGTTTTGTCCTTTGTTGCTGTGGTTATCAATTAAAGGCTCAGGTGGCAGTAACTATCAAAATTAAATCCTGGGACAAAATTACCCCCGGGGACTCTGCAGTCAGTTCCTCGTGCATCTCTCCACACTGGGCATGCTCATTCACGGGTAGTAACCCGCCCCTCAGCATCTCAGTCTAGTCATTCCTTCAGCTCCTCGAGTCTAGTAACTTTCACTTCCACCCTCTGTCTCTGTTCCTGTTCATACTCTAGACCCCAAACCGTTCGCATCTGAAGTCTGAGAGTCTGGCATCACACTGCAGCGATTCCCTCCTCTCTGCAGATGGCTTCCTCAGCCACATTGGAGACATGGACCATTTCCCATCCCTCCTTGGACCTTCTTACCAACTTGCACCCCACTATCTATTAATCCTCCCTCCCTGGCCTCTTAACCTGCATTCTGCTCTGCCTAGA